TCCCCCCCCCCCCCCCGGCAGAATCCGGGAAGGACCCCCCCGCGGAACGGCGGGCAGCACCCCCTCCGCCTTTATCCGTATATTCCTCGATACTATAGATTGATAGTTTTTTAACCCTTTGATAATACAAAAAAAATCAGCAATTGGCTGTTTTACCTCTTCAATCCTCTGCGAGCGGCTGCAATGCTCTGTTTTTAGAGGCTCTTCTTTCTTTGTAAAACTCCTAGCACCCACACGCTTCCCTGGCACCGCTCCTTCGCATCCGGATTGTAAGAATCAGTGCCCAATTTGTTAAGTATTTTGGTTATAAGAGAAATATATGATAATTCCCCCCCCCAGTATTTAGTACACACTCAGCCCAGCCTCCCCATGTATGATCCAAGCAATATCTTCACGGTATTTATTCTTATTATGCACACCTCGTTAATTCTCTGCACACTTACATGTTCTTAGAGTTACTCTGAAAGAAATGTACAATAATTGAACTGCTTTTTTTGTTTGTTTTGTTTTGTTTTTTATCCCAAGTAAAACAAAATGGAACAATGCAGAGCTATCAGCTCCCTTACCTACAGCTGCCTTAAGGAAACCTGTTTCTCAGGGAAACTGAATAAATTAAAGTTGCATTTCTGGCAAGAGGGCTGCATGACCAGGCATGCCAGGTGACATACTGGGGGGAAGGGTGAAAAAAAAAACCAAACCCCCTCAAATAAGGAAGCAAAAAACCTAAAAACCTGCACAGAAAACTATACAAAGGCATTTCTGAAGTGTGCAGCCCCTGAGCTGATATTCATGCTGTAAGGAATAGAGAGGAATGTTTTCCAGGCTCAGCGTTAACAAAGATTATGGAACAAGCTGCTCTTTTTCTGAAGTGCACACACTGCTTTTAACACCTGTAAATGCACAGAGTCTCACAGCACTGAAATACTGTGCATCTCCTCCGTTCAGGATTAAACACGGAATTGGAAATTTAAAAAATTATATTTTCAGGATAACCTACAGCTTTTAAAAACTTTGGAATTTACACATTGTGTTCTAGAAATAACCAGTGAGAGCTGTAACTGGTGTGATCTGGGCCAAAATTCCTGTACTTGTGAGAAACCACTATGCTTTGAGCTACAGAAAGAGCTCATTCAGGGGCTGGTTCAAGGGAATGCATCATGTTGTTCCGGCTCATGAACAATGTTAAATGTTGAATCCAATGACAGGATTTTCAAGTAATTAAATGTTTTAGAAAGAAGCTCGCGAGGTCTCTCAGGCCTCGTATTGACTTGGTAACATCTCAATGAAATTTATTGCAGATTTAACATCCGATTATAGCATCATGGCACTTTTGCACTAAAGCAAAACATTTTCAGCAGGGAGCAAAAAAATAATTATTCAGATTCTCAAAATGATTACTACCACATCGTCTGATGCCAAAGAGTGCAGCTGTTTGCAAAGAATACTCGGAAAGCATTTCTAAAAAGCAAAGCGCTACAGAAAAAAAGCCCCTGTGGGTAAGTAGCTCTCTTCCTTCACTAATCCTGTCTAGATTCTGTATGTTTTTAGCAGCAACTGAGAAGTATTATTCATTTCAGTGATACCACTCGCGGAATCGCCTAGGTTGGAAGGGGCCTCTTAAGATCACCTGGTCCAGCCCCTCCACTCAAGGAGGGTCAGCTGGAACAGATCACCCAGGACCACATCTAGTTGGGCTTTGAGTATCTCCACGGATTGGGACTCCATAACCTCTCTGGGCAACCTGTTCCAGTGCTCGACCATCCTCGCAGTAAAAAAAAAGAAAGTTTTTTCTTGTGTTTTTCATGTGCATTTCCTTTACTCACAGTAACGTTCGTCCCTGTAATATCCCAAGACAGCTCAGCATTACTGGAAATATTACAAAAATACACTGATTGCTTGATTCGATGTCCTGGTGTCCTTCATGACTGCATAGATATCCCTCATTACTTCACAACTCGTTTAAGTTTTCATTTCATCTGCTGTAAGACATTTCTTCCAATGCTTCTGTGTGATTCTAAGTGTTGCTAATGAACATGGTTTTCACTGCTTTAAGCTCTCTGCAACCTCTTGTTAAAGAACAATATAATTGCTGGTGTGACAGTAGAAGTTTAGTTTTATACTCTTGCGTGCTGCCTGAACAAGTGGAAAGAGCTACAGAAGATGAGAAACAATACAGATTCAGGTGTAATCTTCTCACCCCCCTTTCTTTCAAGCAGAAGGGTAGCTGCACAGGATTAACGGTTGCATTGTTAATTATAAGAAAACAAGTAGGTTGAGGCACCCCACTTGTAAGCTTAAATCACATCTACAGTTTCTCAACAAAATATTTGCTAAAGACCTCCAAGCCCTGCCTAAAGGCACAAAGCTTTACATATGTATTAATTGGGCATTTCTAAATCCATGATGCAAGCAATATTTAACATATATAATTAAAATAAATCAGTATTAACAGTGTAGACTGTAATCTCACATATTAACCCTTTATTTTAGGGTTCACAGTATGAAACAGGGTGGTTTTTCTCTCTTCTGGCTGCAAACATCCCAACTCAGATAAAAACAAAGCCAGTATTCACATCTGATTTATAGACTTCAAAGTAAGTTAATAGCAAGCGTGGACCTGGAACTTGTTGCCAACAAAGAAATCAGTCTCTAATATTATAGTTGCGGATTTTTGCCATGTTAGAAGAGATTTTTGGTTTTATGATACGAGCAGGAGACAAATTCCTGGATTTTAACTTCTTCTGAACTTCCAGCCTGGTTCCTCTGACTGTCAAATCTGCAGCTGGCATTTCCAGTTTATCCTTGGCTTTGATATTTTGCTGAGATTCTTCAGGTTGCTCAGTTGAATGTGTAACTGCAAACTCCCCTGTTCAAAAAAAAAAAGAAAGAAAGAAAAATACTTTGTAGTTATGCTTTTATTTAATTGTGAGACTGGATAGTTGAAGAGAACTGGGTTACTCTTTCTCTCTAAATACATTGCTGCCATAGTGCCACATTGTCACAATCTTATATTGAGTGAGTAGCAGAAGCATTTCTGGACACAGGAGGCACAGAACCATTCACAGTAAAATACATCAGTGTCTCCTGCTCAGTCCTTGCTTCATCTGTACCTGTTCCTTCTCCATCAGCGTTAGGCTGTGTAAGAGAGGAGGAAGGAAGAGAGCTGGAAGGTCGGTGTAAGCGTTAAAGTCAAGCCCTACTTACCTGTCCAGCTGGTTTTAAACATTACATTTTACAAGCTTACCCTTCTCTCCGTTGTGAGAGAACATCTGTATCAATCAAAGCAATACGAACACACTGGTCAACACGGCACAAAGTCAGACCTACCTGTTCTCGTATTGTGAAACGGTGACAAAGTAGTTGGCTGCAATAGTTTGATCTGTTTCAAGAAATCACCAGCAGCCGTAAAAGCTGCAGCAAAACGTGTTTGGATACGCACAATCCAAAGGGCTCAAAGGCAATTCCATGTGCTTGACAAAGCTGCACTATTACCATTGTCTTCTGGTGGGGTTTTTTTTTAATATATGTATCTTCTGTCACAAAGGAAGGCATTTACTGTGGAAATCTTCATTTTTGTTGTCTAAAATACCTGTGTGTACTAGGGAGGACTAACTCAAAAAGTAACATCGTTGGTTGGGAAGCAGGAGACTGGTCCCGGTGCCAATCGTGGTCCATCCCGCAGCCTCTCGCATAATTCTCTGAAAACCACTATCTCCAACTAACTGAACTTTAGTCTTATCACAGGTTTCATTAGGTAAGATAAGTGGAATTGGTCAATCAGAGTATTCATTGTAAGCTATAGGTAATATTTACAGGTGCTTGGCTCCAGCCACTTAATCCTTATTTTTCAAGGCACTGAGATATTAATTTTAGGTTTTCTATGGCAAGCCAAAGCAGAGAGCAGAAGTGGTCATAATATACTTGCAGTAACACTCACTGCAGCATTCTGTACTCGTTGAATTTTTTGACCATGACAGGTTTCAGTCCTGGGTATTATTTAGTCACAGAACAAGACTAAGGGGTGCACAAAAAGGTAAGTTTTCATAGTCAATGGAGCATGGTAGAGAGCCCAAACAAAAATCCACACAGAAATAAAAAAAAACATTCTTGAATTCTGGAATGAATTAATCTGTTGAGGGTTTATAGCTCCACGCAAAGCACGGTGCTGTAGCCAGTGTCAAAACACGACACTTTTCAAAATAATTTTTCGGTTGAGGCTTAGCTTGAGCCAGCTGTTCACTCGCGGATGTGCAATCTCTGCACTGAGTCACCTTGGTGGCATTTGTTTTTACAGGTGGCAAAAGCCCAGCGGACTCTTGCGCGATTGATGCCAAATCCCGGTGTTCAGCTCGCCACCTAGCGGCTACCTGCGGGTGGAGAAGATACCAAAGGGGATGCTTCAGCCCAGGGAAGACCTTTGGGTGTATTTTCCTATCTGGAAAAAGAACTTTAACCACTATAGTGCACTACCCTAGATCTCTACCCCATCTAGCAGATAATAAGGCAGAATTTCAGTGTAGAACAGCGCAGGCAGCAGTGTCTGAAAGGTACTCAACACAGCTTCAAGGATCACTTTGCTCAAACAGGAGCTGCAGCAGAATGAGATTACCCCTTGTTGGGGTCTAACCAGCATCAAGGAGCAGATCCATAAATAGCACACGGGTAGCTCTGCTTACAGACGCTTTGGTTTTTGAAATACTCCCTCAGTTTTGAAGGGTCTTTTGTATTCAACCAAGGGGATGACTTTCGGAAATAACGTGTAGATCCAAATGCAAAGTAACCGAGCGCCAACGCATCACGTGCGTCCCTTGCTCTGAATTCTGTTGTATGTTTGCCTCTTGACATCAGTAGAGACACTATAGTTATAACTAGTAAAGGCTACTTAGTTAGGTGTTTGGAACAACACCACAGAACACAAGCATTCTATACCGTTACTGTAAAGTTTTGGAATGTCAAAAATCCACGTCAACACAGAAACTTAAAACCATAAAATTGCAAATTTGTAAGGTTAGTTCTACAAAACAGAAAAAGACAAAGAGCCAACCCTCCAGAATTAGCAATGCTATTTAAAGTGAAATTTCCTAAAAGAACACTGATTAAGGACCTTCGGATGTTTGTTACTGATTCTGCTTGGGACTGTTCATGTATGTGAAGGGCTTGAATAAAATTAGCACAAATATGGACTGTGCAGCAAAATTTAAATGCAGTAGCTTGGTTTTCACAAACAAAGTGAAAAAGCACACCTAATTCACAAGCCTGTAACTTACTGTCGGAAGTGACCTTGACAACAAGAGCTTCTAAGATTATAGTTAAGAGCATAAACTGCTTTTGAAATTGGACTTAAATGTTTAGTGTATTGAAATGCTTAACATATCTTCTACTTGATGTGTGTTAACTACAGTCAGAAATTAATATTATTTATTTATCATATTTTGGCGGAACTAAAGAGATACAGGTAGACACGTTGTATAAGCAAACTGAAATTGCCCCAGACGGAAAATTTCATTTAAGAAACTTGTCACTAGATATTTGCTTATGGCTAACAGTGTTTCTGAAGGAACACCAACTCAAACAAGTTCCTATTCAGGAGAAGAACATGTAAGTGAAGAAAATGTAACTAGGGGATTAGTTAATATTTGTGAAACACTTCAAAGATGAAGTTTTATGTAATGTAGAAAAGAACTCATGAGTCTTTCTCTGATTGGAGCCGGAATGAAGCCAGAGCCAGAGCGCTCTTTCTATTTGTTAATATTTTACCAGATTCTTTCTCTGGCCAGCTTTTTACCCACATGGATTGCTCTTAGAACTGTCAGTGATGTCAAAGCTGTTGAAATTCTGTCTAGTGTGGAAACACTTAAGATAACTTTTGATCCATAAAGCGTAGAATTTCAGGCCACAGAGCTTTGCAAGCAACACTAACAATGAGAACTATACTAAAAGAAACTCCCCTATCTAAGTTCAAGTAGTAAAACCAGGAAAGTTACTTTCCCTCAAAGCAGCTCAATATCCTTCTTTGTCAGGCTACAACGTGAACTCCAATTAACGTGCCCAGGACACAGTTCTGAGTACCTCTGGAGGTGGGGTTTCTCCAAACCTCCAGTGGGACCGTCCACCACACCAGGAGCCCTCCTCAGGCATGGAAAACACTGAGTTTCATCTGCCCCGGACACTCGTACTCCCCCTGTGCTGCTCCCAGCCCTGGTGACCCAGGAGACGCAGCTGATCAGGAGCTTTTCACATGGCAGCACAAAGCAGCCTTCACAGTTTTGGCCAAAACTCCAGGCGCAGTCTCACAGTCAGACTTCGATTGGTGACGTTTGCCTGCCTTTCCAGAAAAACTAGGAAGCGTCTCCAATATCAAGAACAAACTTTATTAAGCTAAATGACTCGAAGAAAACTAAGTTCCAGTTTTCGACATGTTTTACAAAGCTTCCCCTCCTCCTGCCTAACATTTATTCTAAAATCAAAAAGGTTATAGCCCACAGGTGGCTAAAGAAACCTTGCCAAAGTCTCCCACCTGCTCCCAACCTCTGGGATAGGGCATATAAAAATGAAAGAAATACAGAAGTGTAGTTTTTACTAGTACAGCCTAGGTATGGAACCCCAATGCTTTTAATATAATTGTGGCCTGTACCTGTCTACCTCAGTAGCAGGATCTTTTTCTTTCAATATTACAGAGCAATAAAAACACCCGAAGAAGGAACTTGTGTTCCTTCTAAACCCTTTCTTTCTACTTATCTGCAGAATTAACATATATGTTATTAAATCCATCTCATTCCTACACTACAAAGTAAAAATTAGGAGGTAGAGCAAGGAGAGAAAATATTAAAATATCTCATTCTTGCTTAGAAGCTTCCACAAGTTCTGAATTTGATGGTGAAATGAATATAACAGTCCACTTCAGTAATTCAGTGTTAACATGTAGTCATAAACACTCCAAAACACATCGAGTCATTGGATTGTGTCATATGCTGGAAATACAGCACATTGGAAGGCTCACTTGCCATGCCAACCAATTTAAGTCCCAATAGGCTGTTTTGTACATGGAAAAAAAAATAATGAAGCTGTTCAACAGGTTCAGAAAAATCATTCTCACACAGTTTTCTGATTCACCAGAAATGCCCGTAACACACAGCTAAAGGTGTGACAGATCTGTACAGAGTTGAACTTGTAAAAGAGATGTTTGAATAAGCAAACTAACTTGCTTGCTTTGTTGCTAACCATCTTTTGCTACTGAGCTTTCAAGTCTGTGTGTGCGTCACTTGTACCTGAAAGCCCAACACCGAGTCACCCCCTCTTAATGGTGGTTCTATCCACTGTAACTGTGTGTTTGACAAATGTGTTAAATTCAAGTGAGTGGTTTTAAACAGGAAAGATTGAATTATTTTTTCCATAGCTAATGCATGAAAAGTAATGCAAGCCTCTGCTAAAAATCAGAACTCCTTGAAAATTTTGTACATTCTGCTCTGAGGCAGCGCTCTTCCAAAAAAGGAATATTTTACTTTCACAATCTTGTTTTCTGAAATGCAGTATTCAGTACAGTAGGATTAAAGATACCATTTGGGTGGTTTCCTGAAGGAGAAAGCTAAGCAACATAACAGAGTTTTTCAAAGTCCTGTTCTTGCAATGCAGCATTTCAGGGCCTGCACGTTTGAGTTAGAAGCTCCGCTCAAGTGTTCTTAGGCTAAATCTGGATAAAGAGATCAAGTTAAGGTTGTTCTCAGGAAAATATCATCCCTTATTGGTGTTTCACTTGTTTCATGTTAGCAGTATTACCCTTCCCTTTTGCTATTCTCTAGATACCCAAAAATCTACAGTAAGTTTTGCAACGGTGGTTGGAAATTTCTAGACATTAAGAAACTGATGTCCTTGTAAGGCTGCCAGTGGTGTTGCATCACGCATCCAGCAGCATGAAACTGCATGGCTCTATCAGTAATGTTTCAAAGACATCCTTTTGATTATCCTGTCAATATAGACCTGACCTGAAATACTCCTTCTATTTCAGTCCCAGCCCCACAAAAAAAGCACACAAATCATGACTGTCAGCATTATGTCCGTTCCAGTCCTACAGGTCTGTCAATGCACATTACTTTGTTCCTGCAATGCACTGCTGTTGTGAATAAATATACTTGTAATCCATTCTTCATTTTGAAAGCCCTTTTAAATATTTTTTTTTCTCGTGTGCTGCCAAAGATGCTTCATTGCATCTATACGCTGGTTTAAAAATAGATGTAATGTAGGTTGGAAAGGATCTCTGGGTGAAATGTCACCGTGCTTATCACTCAGAATGCACAGTGACACAACTCGTGTCCATTGCCTCTTCTTCTCACTGTGTACCTGTAAGAGTCTGGCTCTGTCTTCTCCAAAACCCCTCACTGGGTAGTTAAAAAGCAGCAATCAGGGCACCCAGCTTTCTAAACCTTTTCTGGTGTGCTGTGTTCCAGCACCCCAGCCATCTTGGTGGCTCCCCACTGGACTCCAGTTTGTCAATCCTTTGTCCAAAACTGGACACAGCACTCCAGATGTGGCCTCACAAGTGCCAAATAAAGGGGGAACAAATCACTTCCCTTCACCCACTGGTTGCATCCTTGCTCCTGAAGTCTGATATGTGGTTAATGGCATGCAAGTGTCTATGTAGTGGTAACAGGTCACTATTAATATAAAGCTCATTTGAAAAAGCTAAATGGCTGCCATGTTACTCCACAGCTGGCATCAGCTCTCAGAAACAATGATGATGATAAAAATAATAATATCAAAACCAAAAAGCCAAGCAACCCACACAAGCCCTGCAGCATTGTAAGAAATAATTTATTGAATACTGTGCCTCTTGTTAAAAAGTAAAAATCACCTTTACTTAGAATATTTTGGAGAAATGTTTCTCTGTCTATTTATAAAGACCATTAATAAAGAAGAGTAAGATCCTTCTGGGGAACATACTCCATTAGTAGCCATCCTTAAGTTTTTCCATTATAATTTAAGACCATTACTTTTTGTCCCATCCACAGCAGGTGTTAGAACAGTTTTCCAAAGTTTTGCTGATCAAGATTTACTTCATAAACAGGCCAACAGTTTGGAAGATATAACATTCATCCGCAATACCGTGCTCAGCATAATGACTATCATTAAAAAGTTCCTTTACAATTTGCCTGTGAAGAGGCAAATTCTCCTCTCACCCTAATCCTGATACTGTCTGATATGGAAGGTCCAGACGCTGTCTCACATATAAGAATTTGTGTCTGCTTTTATTTTTTTATGTTCTGACTTGTTGCACTGGACTATAAAATTCTAATGAATAACAACACCTAGATCACTGTGTGCCCACAGCATACACCACATTATGCCCATGATCTCACTTTCAGCCTTTAGGTCTCAGCACACTAAGCAGTATCGTAGCTATTAACCTGCCACAAAAATAATGATTAAGCAAGGATTTGCCAAATTACAATTTGATCTAACAGTCACTCGGCAACACATGAAGTGTGCAACTCTCAGATAGGCACTTTCCTATCTGCCCCAGATAAGGTTTAGACTGTGTCAAAACAGAAGGGTATTTGCATTTTCCAGGAGTATTCAATAAAAGGGGAGAAGCATTTGCAACAGCATTAAAACCAGAGAGCTATATAGGCATTCCTCTTAACTCTTACTTCAGTTGGCAACAGTGAGATTCCCTTCCAGTAACTCATTAGACTGTAACAACAGTAGCAGAATCCACCACCACGCTTCAGTTCTTCTAGAAGAGTCAAATACCGTGAACTACTTTACAAAGCACGCTTACTTTGGTCAGTGTTCTTTTGAGGACTGAATACAGAAGGGCTTGATCCCATTTCTAAAGTTTGCCACATACCTTGGCAGAAATCACATGCTCGAGATGAAGGAAGCTGGACCTGCTGGGCTTGACCAGGGTTCTGCCCGAGTGGCTGACTTTGGCCGATCTTTGAGGATCTATCTGCCTTTCGTTGCTCTGGCCCATGATTTTCAACAGAGAAATCTAGCTGAACCTGTTCAAATTCAAACACAGTCTTAAAGAGATACTTACTTTCTACAGCAAAGACATTTGAAAATTGGTTAAATCTCATAGGGGCATCTTGGTCTTCAAAAGACAGAAGGTTTCAGTAAGAGGCAAGACAAAAGAAAATTATTATTTTTAATTGTGAAAGGTTGTACAAGAAGATTAATTACAACATCATGAAATTGATTGTGAAACCCTAGTTTATTAAGCGTTAACAAATATTATTTTGTACAGGAACAATGCATAACATAAAAAAAATAGATATTTTTAAGTCTTCCAGGAGATGACTGTTGAGCAATAGCAGTTGAAAAAAGGTAAATTACATTGATGATAAAACTGCACTGTACCTTGGTGTATGGTAATTCCTTTTTTTCCCCATAGCTGCTTGGAGCTTCTGCTTCCTTTAAGCTAGGGCAGGCAAGCAGAGAAGAGATCCTTGAGGGATGCTGTGGCTTTGCATACTGCAGCTCCTAATACGAAATATTACATTAACACAAGTAACTCATGATCTCTAAAAATAACACATTTATGGCTCAGTCTGCTGTTACACTGACATTTAAAATAATAAGATTTAATAATATTAAACAAAGTTATGTTCCCTTTGGATCAACAGGGCCAAATAACCCTCTTGATAAACCTCTTACTAAACCTGTTCAAAATCTACATTTCTTGCTGCTGTTAGTATCATCCTGCTTGTTACTCAAATTTAGATTATCAGGGTCATTCTTCACTTTTGTCTTTTCCCATGATTAAATTACAGAAGAAAAACTCCCAAAGAAGTCCTAAAAAAACCTGAAAGAAAATAAAGCAGCTCTGAAAAAGTAATTTTTCAGCAACTAAAAAGACGTAATTACCCCACAAAGTTTCACCAACTTTGAACATGTAGCAATTACAGTGAGATTTGATGAAAAGCTAACTCCTTCAGCTCTGTGAAAGGAGATAAAAATAAAACATCAAAGTCTTTTGCTATGTATTTAAGACTAAAGAAACAAAATGTGAGTCCATCATATAAAGTAACTGATGCTGAAGTTCCTGTAGGTATTAGAGTAATAAATTCTCTGTTTTTGCTAAAGATGATGATCTGAACACAGGAGCAAATATAGCATGGCAAGTAAGCGTGATTACCTAGAAGAAAAACACCTAAACTAGAACACCTTTGGAAACTCAACCTGGAGCTCAGTTTCAGTGCAGGAGCTGAAGCCTCAGCAGGTATGTTCTGAGTAAAGAGCAGCCTGGAATGAGACTACTGAAGATGAACAGTCTGGATATCTATTTGTCCAACTTTTTAATCTGGACAAATTCCAGCAGTAACAGAGATATCTCAAAGGTTCTAGAGCTGGAAAGATCCTCGGTGACAGCCACTTCACCTGTCACCTCCAAGCAATCCATGAGCTGAAGAGGTTGGACTATCACTCCTGGAGTTTAGCACAACATCTGGAATGCTCAGTCAATTGCTGCCTCTCCGAGAGCCACAGACACATTGTATTGTTAAAATCAATTTATTCATACAAAAGCAAGAACAACCTTTAACGATTTTAAAAAGAACATTGGAGACACAAGATGTCAGAAAAATAGCGGACATAGTACCTAGCTCTAAGTTCTAAGATTATCTGAGAAAGAAAGAAACATCAAAGAGGTGGAGAAGAGAAAAAAAAAATATCAAAAATGTGGATCTGAATTGTTGCAATTTGGCCCAGATCTGGAAATCGCTTTTACATACGTAGAACACGCTGAGGTCTTCTCCTGTTGGCAGACCACTTCCCAGGCTTCCTGCACACTTTAACTGCCTCACCTATTTCCTTCTGAAACCCCACAAGAGGGAGATCAAATCATATGCTCAGGACTATGTTACCTAGGACCAGAGTTGACATTTTCACCTTGGATTTTTACAAGAAATTTAAGATCTCCTGCTCCAGAACTAGCCCATACCACTCTCCGATAAGATGTGCCATTGATATGCCAGTGAGGCTGTTTATTTAATGCTCCCCAGTTCTCTTCTCTGAGGACCTTCCTCACGCTATAAGATATTAATGCTTCTTGTGACAGTGCTGCTGTGACAGCTCTTTCATCAGGTCCTCAGACTGTCCGTGAAGAGCTGCAGAACAGTGCTGCATTCCCAGACCAGTTCTCACAGACCTCGAATCATTTAAGCCTTCCCAGTCTCAAACCTATATGGCTTTCATTATGGTATGTTCTAACTAGTAATTTTGATGCCTTCACTAATACTTTTGAAGTCGAAAGATCTTGATTAGATGAATTTGGTTAAGATATAACATATTCTCTAGCTCACTTTGCACTTACCTGAGTGACCTGTTACAGTTCTCAATGTTTGTTATCTTTGACTACCTGCTATATCTAAGGAAGAGCAAGTCTCATTAGCTCTGTAAAGGTACACCAGATGGCATTCGCAGTTTATCACTGTCTGATGGATGGTTTACAATGTTTGCTCACGCTGCAACCTTTAAAACTTCTTCATTGACTAATGGGCAGTAAAGAAGAACAGGGGCTTACTTTCACTCAAGCAATCTGTTCAAATTTGGTTCTAATTGGCTCTAACAGCATAGCCTTTTGGACTTCAGGTAACCTTTCTCTATCAAACAGGAGTGCCCTTCCTGTTGAATATCTTCTGTCAGGAAGGTGCTTAAATCTCTCTTAGCTTCTGTGATAAAACGTCCAGAGTTCCTCCCTGCCAGCTTCCCTTAGGACATGTTCCAAAATGTTGCCATAAATTCAATCTGAGAGAATCGCCTTAGCAGAGAAACACATGTACCCATTTTCTTCCCCAAATATATGCCTTTCCAGGCTGAAATACAGCTGCATACTTCAGATGCTTGGAGAGCCTTTCCTTTCATATTCAAACACTTGAGCCCTCCAAACAAGTACTACCTGTTTTTACTACTATTCTTTATCCAGGAGAATAGCAATCCTGTGCAGAAGCTGGATAACTGTCTCCAAAACACCGAACTTGACCCTGTCAACACCTGTTCTCAAATTTAGTTGCTGGATTATCTTTGCATTTCAACTTTTTACAATATTTTCTTAAATCTACTGACCCACAACTTTCTGTAATTAGTCCAGCTAACATACCTCATGGGTGTCATTACGTGGCTAATCTGCAGAGCTGTTTTCCTTCACAGGAAAAAAAATCATCTATTTTCAGCAGAAATAAATTGCAAATTGAAAGCGTGTGATCCCCAGACATATAACTAGTTAAATTAGTACCAGTTGAGTCACTTAACCATCATTTATCTAATTTATAGCACTTACTCTAAGCAACTACAGAGATTAATGTATTATTTTTTTCTTTAACACCATTCTTGTGGCATAAGAAAAATTCATTAGAATCTACTTCCACTGGCTCTTTTAAGAAAGTCACCTTGTCATTCAAACTGTCTGGCCAGATGGGACATATGCTTTGTGATACACCTAGTGCAACCAGATAACATCTTAAGAAATTAGTGATAACCTCAGGCTCAAAAAATCACAGAATAGCGTGCTCAAAACGAATATGTGGTTATTCCATCTTATCTTTTTAGACTGTGTCTAGATGTAAAATCATTTAAGATGTTTTTAGAATGGGGTCAGATGGTAAAATTTTCAAGTAAATGACTGACAGTTGTGATTTCTTAGTGCAATCTGACATGATAAGATTATCTCCTGTGTAGTTTCGTATTATCACAGAGTATGTAAGAAGAGAATCATTAAACTTCAATCTCCTACATATTCCTGGATGAACCTTAGTAATCCACAAAAAGGCTCTCAATCTGTTCATGATTTCAGTTAAAAAGGAATAAGAATGCATAGACAGAATTCAAAATGAACAGGATCCCCCAGAAGAGATTAGCCTTATTTCAGCTGATTTTTTTCCCAAAGGCAGAGTGATTGCAGTTTCAGTCTAACAGGTTGGAGGCTCACTGCTCGGAAAGCACCTCTGGAGAAAAGAAACAGGTTGAACATAAGGCAGCAATGAGTTCTTGAAGGCCTTCGGCCAACAACATCCTGGACTGCCAGCAGGTCAAGGGAGGTGAATTATTTCCCTCTACCAAGCACTGATGCAACTACATTTAGAGTATTGTGTCCACTTTTGGGGTCCCCAGTACAAGAAAGATATAAAATACTGAAGTAAGTCCAGCAAATGGCCACAAAGATTATGAGCAAATTGGAGCATGGGACCTGGGAGAGGTTAGAGAAGCTGTCCTTGTTTAGCCTCCAGAAGAGACAGGTCAGGAGTGATCTTTTCAACATGTATAAGCACCTGATCGGGGTAGTGGGAGGAGGTAAAGATGAATGAGCCAGACTCTTCTCAGTGCTATACAGTGGAAGAACGAGAGGCAATGGGCAGAAAGGAAGCACAGGACACTCTGTTTAAACATAATGGGGGAAAAAAAACCCCAAACCCCAACCTTCTTTCCTGTGAGGGCGATGAAACACTGGAACAAGTTGCCCAGAGAGGTTCCCAGAGGAAGTATTTCCCCAACTGAACTTTGTTAATAATTCTACTGGAGTTTTATACCTTGGAGCAACAACCTCACCATTTCTGAAAGAACATTGTTTACTGCCCTCAAAACTACAACGACAATCAGCTGCTCTGACTCAATCCTCACAGGAACAAACCTGCTGATCAATTAAGTAAAGTACATAGTGAAATCCTGACTGTCGAAGTCACTGGGAGGTCTGCCACTAACTACTCGGGGAGCCAGGATTTGTCCATTTGGCTCTCTGACGAAAGCTGCAATTTAACTATTAAAAGTTGTATTTTAATTACAAAATATAAGAGACAGGTTAATTCTATATGCTGCTCTTGTATACGGAAAACGTGGTATTACAATAATTTGGACGAGGGTTCTTTAAAATCCTACCACTGTGGATATGTGGAAATGTTCACTGATTAATCATTTTCAAGTTTATCTTAGAACATACTGCAAATCCATCGTACTTACTCAAAACTAAGCTTTATGAAACTTGTAATTCAGGATTGCATTTATGCTGCATTAACACAAGTGTTTCTGAAATTCCTTGAATGAAAATCATGTTTAAAAACATTACTTTTGCAGTCCCAAGTATAACCCCTTAATTAAAACGGGTAACATCTGGCTGGTGGCCAGTCACTACTGGTGTTCCCTGGGGCTCAATTTTAGGGTCAGTTCTCGTCAATGTTTTTATCAATAACCTGGACACAGGAGAGGAGTGCACATGAAGTAAATTTGCTGATGACAGTAAATTAGGAGGACTCGTTGATTCTCTTGAGGGTAGAGACCTCGCAGAGAGATCTTGATAGATTGGAGTGCTTGGCAATCACCAACTGTATGAAATTTAACCAGAGAAAATGCCAGATTCTGCACCCGGGACAGTGTAATCCTGGGTGTCCATATAAACTGGGGGATGAGAGGCTGGAGTGCAGCTCTGCGGGGAGATGTGGGGGTTTTGGTTGATGAGAAGCTCAATGAGTCAACAACGTGCCCTGGTGGCCAAAAAGGCCAACTGTATCCTCGGGGGCATCAGGCACAGTATAGCTAACTAAAGAAGTGACTGTCCCACTATATTCAGCATTGCTGTGGCCTCACCTCAAGTACGGTGTGCAGTTTTGGGCTCCACAGTATGAGAAGGATATAGATATATTACAAAGTGTCCAAAGGAGGGCAGCAAAGATGGTGAAACTAGAGGGCAAGACTTATGCGAAGCAGCTGAGGATACTTGGCTTGTTCAGCTTAAAGAAGAAGAGGCTGAGGGATGACCTCACTGCTGTCTGAACCCTACAGAATCGTAGAATCATAGAATCGTTTAGGTTGGAAAGGACCTTTAGGGACATTGAGTCCAACCATTAACCTAACACTGTCAAAACCACCACTAAACCATGTCCCTCAACACCACATCTGCCCATCTTTTAAATACCTCCAGGGATGGTGACTCTACCACTTCCCTGAGCAGCCTGTTCCAACGCTTAATAACCCTGTATGTGAAGAAATTTTTCCTAATATCCATCCTAAACCTCCCCTGGTGCAACTTACTCACAAGAGGAAGGTGCTGATCTATTCTTTCTGGTGTCTAGTGATAGGATGCGAGGGAATGGCTTAAAGCTGCATCAGGGGAAGTTTAGGCTGGTTATTAGGAAGAAGTTCTTCCCTGAGAGGGTGGTCAAGCACTGGAACAAGCTCTCCAGGGAGTGGCCACAGCCCCAAGCCTGTCAGTGTTCCAAGAAGCATTTAGACATTTGGACAATAATCTTAGATAACATGGTTTAACTTCTAGGTTGCCCTCTGTGGAGTCAGGACTCAAAGATCCTCATAAGTCCCCCTTCCAGCTCAGAATATTCTATGTTCCTATGAAATCTTCCAAGGTACCAAAGGAAGATTTGAGCTAAAGACAGAAAAAGACATTTAAATTAAGAATTTTAAAGAAAGTTATATTCATGGAATTAGAACTGACTTAACTGCTCATTATCACTAGATTTCAGAGAGCATATCGTTACCTGTGTTGTAAGCCTGTGCTGTAGATGCTTTAAAGCTGATAGCTGACACTGTGTTCTTTTGACAAGCTCTCTTGGAAAAAGACTACCAGAGGCAATACAAACTGTGCAGCGCTTAGAGCTAACAGGATGCCAAAGTCCTATAAAGGAGAGAAAATATTGAGGAAGGCATTCTCTGTTGTTATTTTGCCATCAATATTACATTCCCAGCAAGTGTTTATAGATGGACCACAGAACACAGGCTTTCTCATTGCAGATGGACTCGATGCTATGCGGAAATCTTTTGCTTCACTGCCAGAGCAATTGTTGCACAGAACTTAAATGTCCACAGTGAAATCTTCTTACATTATATACACTCTTGATTCAAGTTTACTCTACAGTAAGACTATTCTACTTTCTCTTCCACTTTCATAAATCATTAGTTTTTATTTCAAGAGATAAACTACCTCTTTTCTGCTCTTAAAAGAAGTCTTAGTTCAACTTCCAGTTGCCACACTGACATCTAGGTACCAGGGAGTCCTTCATCTGAGATGTTCATCAAAGAAAAAGTTACTGCCTACAGACTCTCACTGTTCTATGTTAGCACCTCCTACCACAGCATAATCTTACTTGCAACAATTAGCACCGCAGTCTCACACAAACTGTGCAGATCAAGAATCAGTCGGGCTCAGCAGTTTGTTTTCATATTAAAGCCTAGCTCTCTCCAGCTCCAAGGATGAACTGATTCCCAGGTTTTATTCTAAATATATAAGCTAGCACTCTTCTGTAGAATATATTTACCTTCCTTTAATACCATTCCAAGTTCTGCCCTGAGTCTGTTTCCCATTTCAATCAGCTGCTGCTTCTCTTGGCTCAGAATTGAGATTTTTCTTGTGGCTTCCCTCAGTTTATTTTGCATTCCTTGTAGAGTGCAGCTGACACCATACTGAAGACCAATACCAGGACCCATGTCAGGTAACTGCTGTCCAAGATCTACCATCTCTTCTTCAAGAACTTTGGGGTTTGGCCCCTGAAAAGAAACCGGTAGTGCTTATAATGAGTATTTTGAAAGTGTGGTCTGCGTGTTTAGAGATTTGTACAAACACACATTAGAAGCCAGTTGAAGAAAAAAGTGTACAGTTGAAGCCTACAGCTCATTTTTGAGGGTCCATTTTCAAGATTTTCTTAGCAATATAAGGCAAATTAAACTGTGGGGCAAATCACTATAACAGCCCGAGACATTCCCACAAATATAATACACTCAGGATAAACATATAACTGTAAACTAGAGAGCAGTTAATTTTAAGATAAAATGTGGGAAAAAAAATCACTTCACAGCAGATAGCAAGTACCACAAACCCTTCTTTGTGTAATCATCATGTGCATACACACACATATGGGGTAGATATGACTTAAAACATTTCTTTAAAGAGAAATTCTGTGGTGAAAAAAAAAGATCTACAGTTGGCTTTGTCTCTGCAAACCTAATTGAGTCCACTTTCACATATATGTTATGGTATTTACCCAAAAGATCACATCCTTATTTTTCAAGAGCTATATACTGTCCTCTTTCAGCCCCCTTACTACAGAGACTTTTCATTATCCATTTAAATACTCATCACTCACCAAGCAAATCATCTCCCTCTAGACATTTAAAACACTACGCATTCCCACAAGGATCTAAATGTCACACACATTCCAACTGTTTTGCAAAACTTTTGCTAATCTATTTGTTTACCCTTCTATATATAAACTAGTTAGAAGTGTACCACACTGTAATTGTGCAATCCCAATCAATTTTCAACCAATCAGCCTGAACACTGCAATCCAAGGAGTACACCTTGAAAGGTGTTATCCAGACTGACAAAAAAAGCAACCACCATTGCCTTACTGTGTTGTGCAATTGCCATTCCCTTAATTCTTTGGATAGTTTTACCATAAAAGAGGAGGCCCTTGAGAACATACACCAAAAGCATACAGCTCCACAAACGCTATGGGGCAGAAAGGTGGAGAAATTTGCACAGGACTAGAATCTAAAAATATGGAGACAGACACTAAAGTGAAAGAAGAAGGGAATATATACTTTGGCATACATATAGCAATTTATATCAAAGCAATTAAAAAAAAAATCTATACAAAATCTTTCTATACAAAACATTTATCTACACAAAAAAGATGTGGGCAAGCTGGAGAAGGTCCAGAGGAGGGCCACCAAGATGATCCAAGGTCTGGGAAGCTGCCCTATGAAGAAAGGCTGAGAGAACTGGGTTTGTTCAGCCTCGAGAGAAGGTGGCTCAAGGGAGATCTTATCACCATGTTCCAGTATTTAAAGGGTGGCTACAAAGATGAAGACTCCCTTTCTACAAGGAGTCATATGGAAAATGTGGAATGGGTACAAGGGAGATTCCGATTGGACACAAGAGGAAAACTTTTCACAATGAGAACAATCAGTCATTGAAATAAACTCCCCAGGGAAGTGGTGGATTTCCCAACTATTCCAACTGGGAATAGCAGATTCCTTCCAGCCTGGGCCTGGCAGAAGTGAGCCCCACGAGCCAGGTTGAGGTTCTCTCAGGAACAGCCACACAACCCCTTAACTGGGCATCAACCCAATTTGCATCTGTCTCTCCAACCAAGGCTTCACAGGAGCTTCTCGTCAAGAGTCCAGTAGTGACACAGTATCTACAGTTTCATCTGTATTCACCTTGTTACAAGGTGTTACATTTTGAAAGATTTTTGCTATTTTTTTAAAAAGGCTAAAATCTGGATTTACAATGGAAAACTCGAAAAGGTGATACACAGTAGTTTAAGAATTTGCAAGTGGAAAAGTATCAAGAAGGGCCTAAAAGATCAGGAGTGACTCATGCCAGGGAATGACTAGTCAAAAATTATTCCCTAGAAAGAATGAGGAGAAGTTTGGCTGAAAAGAACCATTGCTGGCTCTCATCTAACTTATGCTCATTCTTAACTGACCACATAAGTGTATATTGCTTCAGTTTCTAATATTTATTCAAACAAAAATAATATGCTGTGTATTTAATTACACACATACATGCCTACAGATATTTTGGGTAGTTTAACCTCTTCATACCTTTTCTGTGTCTGGGTTTACTACACAATCCAAGTTAGCTGAGCTGACTTTGATGTTGCTTGAAGTGTTTCCAGTTGAAATGTTGTTTGTGCACAATGAACCTAAAAGAGAAGAGGAGTAGAATATGAATGTGTATGTATTTACACAGAGTTCAGGCTTTCATAGCAACAGCTGCTTCAGAACTTTGTCTCATTAATATGCACTTACAGCAATTCAGTAGATATATTGTAACCAGAGCTGAAGAAATAAAATTTATTTATCTTATTTAACCATTCTTAGGAAACTGGCAATACTGAGTATAAAAGGAACAATTAAGACACACTAGCAGGGATGTGGATCATCTTTGAAGTGAGACTTTTTTCTCATCATCGATCAGCTCTGTTTCTGGGAGCAGCTTGGTGAGTGTCATACCAGTAACACTTCACGCAATTGTGGCATGTGCACAGGTAAAGGTTTATAAGAAAGACATGGACCTGTTAAAGCTGGGGCCCATGAAACTTATCAGCGGGCCAGAATACTTCTCCTGTGGAGCAATTTTTTATGAGGAGGGTGGTTGGACGCTGCAACATGTTGCCCAGAGAAGCTGTGGCTGCCCCGTCCCTCAAAGCGTTCAAGGCCAGGCTGGATGGGGCATTGAGCAACCTGCTCTGGTGGGAGGTGTCCCTGCCCAGGGCAGGGTGATGGAACTAGATGGTCTTTAACGGTCCCTTCCAACCCAAACCATTCTATGACTCCATATACTTGCTTCAGTGGAATTCTTCTTGCTTCAGTGGAAATTCTGTAATAACTTGTAATATATATATATATACATTTGCTTTCCTAGTAGTAATTTTGTAGTGACTTACAGTGTGTGTGTGTATATATTTGCTTTTACCGAAACAGTTTTGTAGTAATTTGTAATAAAGAAATTCTCAGAATCTCAGACTTCTGTGTACTTGTGTATTGTGGAATCCTGAGAACCCCATGGCCAAGATCTTTATGCACCCGTGGGTCAGGCAGCCCTCACAGGTCGTGATGGTGACCACTACAGTTCCTTAACTAAATTTAGAGTTCTGTGGTGAGAGTTGTCACCTTGGTCTGTAAGCTGTCTGCTTTCTGTCAGAGGAAGAGAGGACAACACCTGCTCATCAAGACTCTCCATTTCTTTCCTCATTTGTGCAATAGCAGCCCGAAGGCTGGCATTCTGCTCCTGCAGCTTTTTGATTTCCAAGGTAGGAATATCTTTGCTCAGAAAACTTTTATCATCATGCTCAAATATCTATAAAATAAAAGTGCAACACAATAACAAACTTTCATTAATGAGCAACACATTCTCTCCACAACACCATAACACAGATCATAATGCTTTCAATCCATGAACAGACTTGGGAGAAAAGAACCATAGGAAGAAAAGAGAGAGATCTGGTTATTCTGGGGATTTACCAGGAAAAAAAGTGCTATGATGAGAACCTGAGATGGGGAAGGAGGCACAGATGGGGAGAATGGCCACAGAGGTGGCTCTGTCTTATCGCTGTTGTTCTTTGAAGCATGCCATCCCTATCTCTCCCATGCATGAGTAACACACCTCCTTAAGGGCTTACTGGCTCAACAGCAGTCCCCCTTCTGACCTGCCAAATTCTTGAAAGTGTCACTGGAAATCATTTATTCACAAGAACATAAAGAGGCTGGACATCCTTTGCTAAACTGGAAAAGCGGAAGGAGCATACGGATTACATCTAGATAACCTGGACAAGGGCAACATCTAGAAAACCTCTAAGGACTTACATTCTAAAATAAATAGCACTGTCTTCCTTTTGTGCATTAGTTACAGATAAGCTAACAGGAAACAATGTAAAAGGAACATTTGTCAGACAATGATTGAAGCTCTGCCTTCAGAAAGTCTGACTTTATACTTGGAATTATACATGGTGGAAGTATGAATTGATGAGCAAACGTGAGTGTGGAATGCTAATGGCCTTCAAATTAAAATTCCCTGTTGTAAAGACAACAGCTGCCCTATAGCCTCTGTCTCCTGTGGCTCTCCCTGCCCTAACAGTAACAGGGTATGCAGAAGATGAAGATAATCTCTATTCTGCTTTTACAATCTCTCCAACACTGTTAAGGTGAGGAGAGAGGAAAGAAGGGCTGTAAAGGCGTGCAGGGAAAGGCCCCAGCACCAGGCGTGTATCACCCAGGTGTGTTCTGAAATCTGGGGCCAGAAGTTCATCTCAGTCTGCAACACACACACAAACCATCGCAGTTTGAACCAGAAATACAACCATTCCAGATTTTTGCTAGTGGAAAAGGGTCTAGAGAAAAGACCATATAATCATCCAGACGTACTGTAAGCAATCTTTTCTTATCTGTGCACTTGTGTGGTATTATCAGCATGCTTGAGTTAGGCAGACATGACCCAAGTCATACTCAAAATCAGTTAAAAGCAAGATTTTCCAGGCTGGTGTTTCACATGTCTGTTGCTTAATTAAAGGCCAAGAATGACCACTGCAATATTTCCAGCACCTGCATGGGGTCTCAGACCAATGTGAAGAAAGGATGTGCATGCTGAAGATACTGTACTAGGATGTATTTAAACTTTAATCTTTCTTGCCTCAGTTATCTGAACCAGAGGCCAGCCAACATACTACTCCTTCTCTAAGAAGCTCATTGACATAAATGTTATCAATTTTAAACTTTTAATCACTCCCCCCCGCTGTTTGTTTACAATTCATTTTGTACAGAAAAATTACGAGAAAAGGTTCTAAATCAGAATAACAGAATTTTTTTTGTTGTTTATTTGGTTTTTAAACAATGGCCCTTCACATAAATGAGACAAAAATGGCTTTGCTGAGATGGGTACTGCTTATCCTACAGACCAAAAGTGCAAAACAGAGACAGAATATGTGAGCAACAGAAAGAAAAGTGTGACAATGAAAACAAAATCTTGCCAACAACAGTAACAGTTACAGTAGAAGACAACAGTGAATGTGAACAGTAAAAGAAGGCACCCCCCCCAACTCTGAATCTCTTGGTATTTGAACGATCAATTTGCAAATCAGTCCAGTTTGAAATGAAATTGGAAAAACTTGCTCCGTAGAGTTTTTGCTAGCAGTTTAGTTTTGTCAATTTATTATAAAAATTGTTGTCAGGAAGTATCTTTTTGTATACAACACTTCAGAAACCACTAAGCTTGCTTAACACTGCTTTTTCTTATCAGCAAATTCTGATAATGCATTTGTAACTGCTCACTGTCGAGCATCTGTTGCTGCCCAGTAGGGTGCACTGCAGCACGCTCTTTCCTTCTCTTACAAAAGACGATTTTCTACTGGCACTGCATTATCCTTCATGGCTTCACACCAGCATTACGTTTGCAATTCTGAGTCGCTTTTTTAAATATATGTATTTTAATAAGTAGCAATGAAATGAAAACTAGTTTGTGATTCTAAAATAAAAGACATTATTTTAATCAGCTGGCAAATCAGTGCGTTGAAGCATTGCCTTAAAATTTTAATTTCACAACTTTAAAATCTACCCTGAACTGCAACTAACACAGACCCTCAGGAACATTCCAGAAATTCATTCTTCCCATCCTGATGTGCCATAGTGGTACAGTACATTGTCCTGTTTTGAAGAACTGTCTATATCCAGCTTGCTCCTTTTGCCAGTAAAAAATGGATCAGAGACATCAAGAAGCCTGTGACACCTAATATATGTGTATTCCAGTCTAAATGTGTCTATATTTTGAATTAAACATATGAAACAGATGAATTGCTTACAAGAAGTCCAGTGGAAACAAGCCCCATAAAGTTGTCATCTCAGAAAGAATTCATCCAAGTAAAGACACTAAGTGTTGTCTAACCCGTTTCTCCCCTTCAGGTGAAATACTCTGATTAAATGATGCTCACATGGCCTGTTCTCTCTCAACAGTCAAAGCAGAAAGAACAGCCTTCACTTCATGCAATCTGCAGTCTGTTTTCTGTAGGTCAGCTTCAACCTCAGAGGGAGGGAAGGGAAGGAAAGCAGTGGACATCAGTATCTCAAGGACAAAGGGTGTAGAGATTTTAAAAAAAAAAATGAAAAAGAAAAAAGAAGAGAAGGAACTAAAAGAAAAAGATACTTTAAATCACAGGGACACTAATCACTGAGAAGTATTGTGAGCCCACTGTGTAATTGCCTCTAAACAATACACAGGTATTTCATTTTTCAAAAACAGAAGCTTGTATACTTCATAAAGTAGGTGTGGGGTTTTTTTCCATACAAAAATACTGAGTTTTCCAGGACTAACATTGTTCCCTTGATAGAACTCAAGCGGTACTGCGATCTGAAACTCTTTTTGGCCTGGGGCTTCTCTAATATGGGTCTTTCTTCTTCTGCTACAACACCAAGAGCAAAGCAGTGGTATCTCTCAGGCTGACTTGACTTCATTACAAGGGAGAAAAGGCTGCTATTAGAGATTGTCCATGAGTATTAATCTGGTCTCTGAACAAACACATTTGATGAATTGCTGTGCACACAACAGAATTACTATTTTACAGATTTTTGAAAGAAGACTGAAGTCGCTTCTCCCCTGAGAAACACCATGATGGACAATCTCTGTAGCTCTCTATGTAATATATGGTTCCTAAACAGTGTTGATTTTAAATTCTCACCTGCTCTCTTGCTGAAGACAGGCTTTGTGTTCGATCCTGTGATTTCTGATACTGATTACTTTCAGCATTGTCACAGAGCTGCTCCCAGTCCATTTCTGCTTGCATTTCACTCTGTTCCAGAATCCATTTCTGCTCAGCTGCCAGAGACAGTTGTTGCTTATACCTACAATACACAGAGCAAAACTGTTGATTTCAGCAGGAAAAAATACTGAGGATGTTTTTGTGTTTGTTTTCTGTGGGTTTGCTTGTTTGTTTGTTTCAAATCTCAACCTTGTTTGCTGTCCTCATCTCCTTTTCTTGTTCTATTTTCCAAATTATCTATTTTATTCCATTCCACTCTAAGTATTTTACTGAACAAAAGTGTTTTAATTGCTTAGAGCTCAGCAGTCTCCTGTGGTCCATCTGTACGGGTATTTAGAATCAGCTTTGGAGGTCACCTCAGCTCAAGCGGCATAAACAGCTCTTCAACACAGATACTGCTCTTGGCAATATCATTCACAGCATGTTCCCCATTTGGTAATAATGGAAATGAGATATAAAATAGCTAGGAATTAAAGTTGTTGGATTGTTGGGTTAGGGTTAGGGTTGGGGACTTTTCCATGAGCTAAAGGCATATTGTAAACCATTTCCAGTCATGGAAAAGGCAGGCCACCTAAGCAATTCTTTAGTTTCCAGTGGTCTTCTTGGACTGGCAGCTGGCTCTTTGCACGCTGGCTATGAAAGATCTTCTGGTGTGTTGTTCCTTTTCTAAGTTCACAGATACTTTCTTTTTCATTTGAGCTCTTTTTCTTGTTAAGCCTTGAGGAGATGTTTCTTGATTATGTCAATTGTAAAACTAAGGTTTATATGCATATATACAAGTTTTGCTACAAATTTTGTTGCAATGATGTACATAGAACAGCTCCGGTTAAAAAGATCATCTAGTGCAACCCTTCATGAGAAAGGGAGCCTAGATGAGATTGATTAGGAGCATGTCCAATCGTGTCTTGAAAACCTCTAGTGATGTCCCTAGGGCAGGTGTTCCTGTGACTGATTGTTCTCACTGTTAAAAAAAACCAAAATCTTTTCCACACTGAGATGAAACCTTTCCCAGTGCAACTTGTACTTATGGCCCCTTCTCTTCTCCATGTGGCTCCTTGTGAAGAGAGAGCCTCCACCCTCTTTGTAGCCACCCTTTATGTGCAGCTAATGAGGTCCCCTCCAGAGCCTTCTCCAGGGAGAGAAGAGCCAGCTCCTTCAGTCTTTCTTCACAGAGCAGGTTCTCCAGCCCTTTGATCATCTGTGTGGCCCTCCCCAGTCCATCCATGTCTTTTTTCCAATTGTGCGGACTGGACCTGGACACAGTACTCCAGGTGTGGTATCTGTTTAACCATAAATTACTGTGAGCTTTCCACATAAATAGGTTGGGCACAAAACTGGCAAGTATGATGTTCTGAGTTTCTTTCATCACAGCTTATGAAACAAGATAAATCATGTCACTCACTTTCTAATAAGAGCATCTTTCTCTCTTAAACAAGCACTGTGATGCCATTCTCTTCTGCATAGCTCAGTTTCCAAACTTTTATGTTTCATCTGCAGTTCTCTAATCTGCTGCTTCAACTCTTTAAACTGTTTGACTTGGGCTTCTTTCACCAAAGCTGCCACTGCAGCCTTTTCCTTGGCAGCAGGAGCTAGTTCTTCATGCCTAGAAGATAAAGACAGATGGAATAAAGTGAGGTTTCAAGCAACACAAGCACATTATTTTTTAGTACACTTGATTTACTTTCTTATCAATTTGGTTTGAGCAAACGCAAAGAATTATTGTTGGATGCAGTGGAAACAGAAATCAATATCCATTTGTCAGTGGAACAGGTTGCAGGGAGGTCTCTTGCAGTTGCTTTTTCAAATTAAGAATGCGACTAATTAGTTGGACTTAGGACCAGAGCTGAATCCTTCTTATACCATTGCAGAGACTTTTCCACCTAATTATGGGACCAGGGTGATCCTAAAACACAAGTTGTTAGTATTGGTTTGTTTTTTTAAACTCACAGAGAAGTCATTTTAACAGGTGAACCACCCCATTCAACATACATTTTTACCGTACTGAAAATATTCTTCACAGTAATTGAACAACTGAAGGACAGCTGTGATCAGGTGGCCCAAATAAGAGACTGTAGGAATCCATGGAGCAAAAATGCTTCCTTCAATATTCACCTTTCATTCACAGATTAATTTCCTGAGTGCGCAATCACACAGAAACAGAGACCAAGTTTAAAATCAGACAGAAGTGAGTTGTTAGAAGAAAAGACCACTGAATAATGTCTGTAGAAAACTGAAATTGAAGAGTAAATTAAAAAGGGAGTTTAAAGTAGTGATGAGTGAAACAAAAGATAAAAACCCCAATAATACTCTGTTTTTTCTGTCACTATATTCACAACCTGTCTGTAGCTGCTTGCAAAAATATAAAGCTGTAAGTGAAGAACTCTTCTCAGTGGTGCCCAGCGACAGAACAAGGGACAACAGGCATAAACTGCAACACAGGAAATTCCTTCTCAACATGAGGAAAAATTATTTACTTTGAGGGTGGCAGAACACTGGAAGAGGCTGCCCAGAGAGGGTGTGGAGTCTCCTTCTCCGGAGATATTTAAAATCCATCTGGATGCGTTCCTGTCCATCCTGCTCTGAGTGACATTGCTCTGGCAGGTGGTTGGACAAAATGATCTCCAGAGGCCACTTCCAACCCCGACCATTCTGTGATTCTGTTCATTGGATTCAAATCAAGTGTTATGAAACAGGACCAAAATAAGCCACACACTCTAGAAGTGGGATGAACTAAGTTTTTTCATTATGTTTACTGCTTGGAAGAGGTACTCCATTTTGCAGTAAAGGTAGAAGGTACCACTGAACCCTTAAACCTTCTAAGATAAAATTTTCTTTTTAAAGTGAGACAGGTTACATTCAGAAAGAATGTAGCAAAATTAACCTGAATCCATGTGACTTAGCGAGTATTTCATACAAAGGGTTACCTCTTTCTGTTGTGACAATATATATTACTAGATCAATTAACTCACCTACACCATCCCAAGCTGTTGCTACAATAAAGAGTATGTGAAGAAGAGTAAGTCGAAAGTGTTGTGGAGTTGTAGAGTCTGTGAAAAGCAGTTTATTTGGATCATAAGAAAAAATTGTATAATACCAAGCATCTTCCAAAGCAACAAAGTCATTGAAGTGGTTTTCTTTCTCCAGTCTCAAATCAAACATTTCTGCTGTTTGCAGTGATTCTGCTGTTTGCATTCCAGTCTCTTTGAGGGCCTCCAGTTCTCCAGTCAGCAGCTTCACCTTAGAAAGGAGGAGAATAAGAGTTAAGAATTCTAATGAGAGCCTGATGTAACCTAATTTTTTAAGAGGTCCATAATCCTTACACAGTTGAAATGCTCATATCAGCTCCAGAAACAAACAAAATAGTATAGGAAGTTGTGAGGTTATTTTTATTTTTTTTTCGGGGGGGTAGTTCTTTTGTTTGTTCATGGGGTTTTTTTAATTTGTAAGTAACATTTTGTGTGGTATAAGCATTAGATCAACAAAACACTGTAAAACACCTTCCCCATAAGCTATAACCTCTGTTATTATTTAGATTTCTACTCCCATATTACTGCTAAATATCCATTTTATATCCTCTTCCTACACCTATTACCTACATTAACACTAATCCTGCACCCTACCTCTTCCTTTTACAAAGTTTTTTTATTCTTTGACTTCTTCGCTTCCCCTGCAGCTGCTCTCACTGATACAGGGGGGAAATAACTGCAGATGACCTCTCTTTCCCTTGCTTAACACTTCCACCACCAATTCAGGTGCAAATAATATATATATATGTATACATAAAAATACAATCAGTATTAGAAACTGAAACAGCATTAAAAATATCTAATCAAGCAATCAAGTCTGAAAATTGCACAGATTAAAGGTTTCTTCCGAAGTACTATCAGAGTTATACTGCATATCACAGAGTAAGCAATATGTGCAAATTTACATTTAGTAAACATACACACAGTTGCAGTTTCTTTGTCCATACTGAGTCAACAGCAGTTGGTCATTTAATCTTTATAGTCAAGACTGCAATAAAGCAAAGTAGTTTTAGGTTCATTACTACAGCACTGTCTTTTAAAGAAAGCCCAAGACAGGGCAAGAAAACAAATCCAGGAACTAAACTCCAGTTGAGTCAACATCTAAGATACAGGAATCTATGGATACCACTAATAAGAGAGCTATGGATTTTCCAGAAATTAAACTGTTGCCGTGAGCAGCCATTCATGTGCTCAGACTCATAAAGTATTTTAAGAAGTCTTTACGAGATACTACTTCCAGGACTTCAAGTGAAAATAAGAGGATGAGGTCAGAAGGGATTTTGGCTAATCAATGCGATATATTGTGTTAGGTGAAGGGAATGACTGCAAATTGCCTAACAATCTCTTTCACCACTTCCGTTTATATTATATATTGGTTTGGTTGATGGGACAAAAATTAACCATTCTGGTTCCAATGATGAAACACCTTCATATATAAATAATTAAAAGTCATTTTAATATCAAATAAATGTTTATACAAAAACAAAGAAAGAAAGTTTTGTTGTTCTTTAAAGTTTGTAATATATATCTAGAGGTGGTATAATGCCCCCTTAAGGTATCACAGTTCAGATCTTAAGGTATCAAAGGTCAAATTTCACTGTAAGTAAGATTATCCTTTTATGACAAAAGGATAGCAATACAAGAAAAAATATAACACCTTGCAACTAGGCGTACAACAAACAATGTACATTTACCCATCTTGCCTAAGGCAGCTTCTGCCTAAGACAGTTTGAGATGCTGACCTTTCCTGCAGTTTCAAGGTTAACAAATTTAGCAGTGTGCTGTCTACATAAAATCACTTTACACAATCTCAGATTACTAAATAGATTCATAACAGTCCCTTACAAGGGGCAGCTGCCAGACAAGAAAAGCAACAGCTACTATACAAGTAGTGCATGATTTTCTAAACTGTCATTACAAATCTCATCAATTTAAGCAAAGAAACCACAAAAAAATATAAGCTTATACAACTATAGCAATGTTAAACCAGAACGTTCAAATAAAAAAAAAAAATTTTAAAAAGCATTGCTAGATGGCACCGCAGCAACACAACACTGTTTCTCTGTATGTTCATACCCGTTTCTGACAAGCTCCTTCCGGTTTTTGGGTTTTTCTCTCCACATGATGTTTCAGGTTCACAGACTCCTCATGCTGATGATCTATGTGTCTGTTCCTAGAGCTATAAACAAAAATAAACCAAATTTACATTACAGAGCATCTCTGGTGACCTAATGAGGCATACATATGTAACTATAAATACAAGATGCTGTAGTTTCCTAAAGAAACAGTCACCATAAAATTTCTTCTCGTCAGTTGAAACCAACTATAAAAGTACATGCCATTTCTCAAAACTATACTTCGAAAGTCAGTTGCACATGAAATATCGAGGATCTGCTGAAAAGTAGTGCAAGACTTCCACTTAAGTACACCACAGTTCTTCCTCCATCCCAAAATTTCTGTTACATCACAAGAAATTGCAAAACAAGGGTTGCCCAGCAGAAATCTGAGCTTTTACATACATTTAAAAATAGAAGCAGCTCTGTATCTTTTCCTCTGCTTCCCCCAGTATTTTTATTTGCTACCAACAAAAAATGTTTCTCTGAGATACAGTGGAAGAATACCAGTAAGGCCAGCATTTCCAACAAATCCAAAGAGCTTTCAGTGCTACATGACCACTAAGTTCTCTAATGACACACTGAACCTTTACAAGCTTTGGATTCATCCCTGCAAGGCTCAAGGGGCTCGGTGCTGCCTGTTACACGGCCAAATAGATCTGAATGGATAATTGTGCAGTTCTGCAACCTTCCCATGACTTTCAACTCTATTATTACAGTTCCTTTATGTAGCTGAATCACCACTGCATTTGGTTAGATAAGGTTGATCATATAATAACTACACAGACAGAACTGCAAGCTAGAACTGCAGAGTCACAAACAGCTAAATGCATATTCACTTTCATATTCTGCTAGATTTTGCTTTTGAATTTGCACTTCACCTGAATTAATCCAAATCCTCTACCCAACACTTATGCATATAAATAAAGTCTAATAGAAGTGTTGTCTCAGTGCAGTCTAGACGGGCACATTTACACCTCCCTCGTTCATCCCGCAACTCTCCAGGGCAAGGTAGATCAGAAGAATAATTGCTGTACTGCTCAGTGATCAGTGTCCAGCCCAGCCTGGCAAAGAGGCAATGCTGGGTGTAAAAGACTCAAACTCCTCCTTCCATTCCCAAAGTATATAGCTCCATTATAAAATTCCTGAATTTGCATATGCTCCAGAGCCACAGTAACATCAGTCAGTCAGTGACCTTTGAGGAATTCCAGATCTGTGTCCAGATCACTTCTAATAACTAAAACAAATTATTTAAAACTTATTCAGCCATCTCTACATTGTAAATGCAGTTTGACCCAAAACACTTTACAGTAGTCACCATTTTAAACAGAGAATAACCCCAAAGATACTGTTATATCTGAAGATAGTAGTTATACTAGAAAATAATTATGTGCAGACAGATCTCAAGAAGTGTTTATTCCTCACCCCCCAACCACACAAGGTTTAGAAGTCTATATGGAATAATAAAAATTAGTCAGAATGGCCAAGCTACATAAGTGCATTGCTTTAGGTATCTTCATATGTTAATTGGCTGTATTAGTCATAAATCTTGGTCCTGTGACTTGACATGCCCAGACTGCTTTCCTTCACAGAGGCCTATCAGAGAAGGTGGGACAAAATGCATGTAAGAGTGCACAAACCCAACTCCCAATATAGCACAACAACTGTACAACATAGCAATTAACACCCACTAACCTCAGATAATATTATTGACAATGATTGATACCATTATAATTTGTCTCCTCGCATACACAGAAGACAAGTGCATCTTGATACAGGAGACATATCACAATAGTTTCAGATTCATCTTCTGTCGCAGAGGTGTTTCAGCACCCAAGGAAAAAGCATTTCCTTCTGACAAATCCTTTTCTGTTCCCCACACTACCTTTCCCTTACAACCATACCATCTCCACCCAGTCTTATTGTCTCCCCAACATACACCCTTGTGAATTACACAGGAACATGCTGTACGTTTACGAGCATCCTCACTTAACGCTATCCTTTCTCTAGCATGTTGCCCAAAATCAGATAAGTTACTGTGGAAGCTAAGACACAGGAGGTGTAAAGACAGCCCAAGTCACTTCTGTTACTCCTCACTCTGTTCACATTCCAGGCGTTCCTCTGTCAGAACAGATAATCGTAACTCCATGTGCAAACTGCTCTCAACTGTATGAATGATGTTATTGCTTTATCCCAATCCAAATATGCCTTTGAGAAACTAAATTTCTCTTTTCCTGCATACCATTCTAAGGAAGTCACATCTCACCCGCAGAACTGTTCCAGCTCTAATTTATGTTCTTCAATGTGTTTTTGATAGTGATAATAAAGTTCACATCTTTTTCTTCTCTCCTTGAAAAGCATTTGCTCCACTTGATCGAGTTGTATTCTAAGATCACTGATCTCTGCCAGTTTAGCATTTTCAGATATTTTCAGATGAGTGACTGTGACATCATAGTGTTCTAACTCTTTATCTCTCTCTTCTAAAATTCTTAAGTTATAGACGAAATCTTCTTTCAATCTGTTAAACTTTTCATGCATGTCTTGGAGTTGCTTTTTGACACCTTGCAGCATTTTCTTTTGACACGGGGACTGGCAAGCATGTAGCTCTTCCCCTTCTTTTTCTTTCCACCGAAGGAGATCATTTAGTTCTTTCGCCATTTGTAACACTTCTATAAATCTGAAACAGGAGCTGACACAAAACAGACTGGTAACTAATACAAATCAAGTATGTTGTCACTCCCAAACTACTGCATAGTTGATAATTAATTTACCAGTGAATTTTAAAGTCTGCAGCATAAAAAACTTCTTCCTATATCCAGTCTAAATCTACCCTCTTTTAGTTTAAAAACGTTACCCCTTGTCCTATTGCAACAGGCCCTGCTAAAAAGTTTGTGCCCATCTTTCTTATAAGCCTTCTTCTTCCTATAAGTCTTCTCCTACCACAGTTACTCGCAGGACTCCAAAGCCACTGTTCTGTTCACAGTTAAATCCACCTTTAAGTTACTTTTCAGAAAGGTCAACAGGTATAAGGAAATAGCTGTATGTCAGTAACATATTAACTGCATCTTTAAAAAAAAATAAATTTAACAACACCGAGGTTGTGCTTTTACTGGTAAAATCCTTTACCTGCTTCACTCCCACCTCTTCCTATTGTTTATTCTCCATATTTGCTTCATATCTAATTATAAACTCTGTAGAAGAAAAAACATTATTTCTAAGCATCGTGGTTGCTTTAAAAAAAATAAACAAATTGTAATTTCTGCTCAGATCTCTCCAGAGATTTCCCCAATACAGCTTCTCTCTCTGTACAGTGTTATTCTGTGTCAGTGGTTACAGATAATCCCATCTGGATAAGCACAGGGATGCAGAGAACAAATCAGACGAGCACGCCTTCCAAACAGTGGCTCTTTAATCTCTTTAAACGAAAGAGAGATTTCCAGATCAGCAAACACGATGCAACATCTCTATGCTAAAAGATGCCACAGTTTTTTGGTTTTTTTCTTTTACCACAAACTAGACAACTCTAACTCTCTAGGATCAAAAAAAATGAGTCTCTGATCTTTGGATGTGACAAGTATAAAAATAAAAATAATAAAAAGACCAAGCTTGCTCTTCCCAAGTACACTGGGTAACAAACACTGCTCGAGGACACAATGATCTGCTGGTCTTTCAATTCTGCTAGCCCAGATTTCACATTTATCCCTAAGGCAATTAAAATAAATTATGTTTTCTCTTCATATTCTGCTTCTTGTTGGCAATCTTCAAATTGTGTTACCATGTAGAAAGTAGTATAAGTAGCATCTTCTTCATTTGGGTAAGCAGAAACAGATATTTTTTATAAAAGTATATTCATGAGCAATACTGCCTCCCTCCCTGTAACATGCAACACTAAGAAAGATTTGTTCTTTATCTTCCTTTCAGCTACTGCTTCTCCAAATGCATCTGATGGCTACCACAGCTATAAAGATTAACTAAATCTGACTTCCTCCCTTCCCCTCCCCCCTCCAAATACATTAAAGATAAAAAAATATCTATGAGATGCTTTCTGGACTCAAGACACTGACAGAAATTATGCTCAGTCTATACCCATTAGGGCATAATGGAAACAGCAGTGTAATTTTAGATATAAAAGTGCACCAATGCCTGGATGTCTTACAAGAATAGCCAACCTATTTAGGATGACAATAAAAGATGACTTAGGAAACAGCATAAATATAAGTGACAACACCTTACAGCAAGCATAGCTTACCCATACAACCTAAACAGCACAGATGCCCATTCCAGTCCAACCACTTACTTCCAGCATGTCCAGAAAGAGGCGAGTGATGGGCTCTGCTGTTCCCTCCCATCAGGCCCTAACGGGGCTCACAGCACAGCAGCCTCTTTACCAAAGGAAAGCGGTTGCTCGGCTGTAAATCACACACGATTGAATGTGGTGGGTGTATCTGATTCATCGGGGACTTCACAACCGTTGCTATTAAAACACTACTTCAACAACAGATGCTGTGTTTGAGTCGGTCACTTTTCAACCAAATAAGGAGAACGAGGTGATGCTGAAGAACATTTCAGAATAACACTTGAGAACCTTCAGACTTCCTCACAACCCCTATTTGTCAAAGAGATGTAAAGCTTTAAAATTTTGTCCAAAGTCTAAAGAAGCTGTACTTGCTCCTCTCTTCCTTGCTATCCTTATAACATTTCCTTATTGTACCAAGACTAAGATGCCCATAACAGACCAGCAGAGCTACTACACCAGGATTGCTCCCTTTCCTTTCAAAACTACAGAACAGAGGAGGAGCAGGAAAATGCCGCACAGGCAGTATCAATTAATTATCTCTAGCCACAGCTGTTTTCCGTGATGAAGCAGTAACAGACAGAACCAACACCACCTGACTATTAGCACAGCCATTTCACTATGTGCTACAGCTACACTAAGTTGTTCCATAGCATCGTTGCAAAATAAAAAAATATATAAATAAATTAAAAAAAAGGAAACCCAACCATACTTGTGTGCTGTCTCTTTCTTTACTGCTAGTAGCTGGTTTGCTATTTACAAGGAAGGTTAGATGTATAAAACAGCAAACATACATCACACAATATATAATCTGATGAGAATAGATAAAATTTAGCAGAAGCTGGGGGATGGGATAAGGACCAATAACACAGTAACATACCAGAGAAACCTGGGGTGTCAGGTACTGAGCATGGACACCCCCCTGGCCATGCACGGGGGGGGTCTACGATGCGGGGTATGTGACAACCTGATGGCAGGCTCTGTCGTTACACAGGACAGACAGAAGAGTAGGAGGCAGAAGAGACTGCATCAGACAAGGTAGGGTGGGAAGAAACATTTACTCCTGTGACTGAGAAGTGGGTACATACTCTAGAGAGCATCCAGGAATGTAGAGAGAGGGCAATGCACCGTGAGTCCCCAGAGCAAATACCTTCAGGGATGGCAGGAAGGGACAGCCACAGGGATGGAAGACGGAAAGGCTCCACTGGCAAGCCAGGGTCCGAGTCCTCTGTGGGACTAGAGGGCTGTACACCCTCAGTGCGGGGAGGGAGAGGAAGACATCATCGAGTGGGAGCGAAAGAAGGCGCTGCCAGGGCAGCAGCCAGCGGGCAGATCCCGGGAGGAGGGCCGAGAAGTCCCATGGAGGGCCCAGAGGGTCGGACACCCCAGGCAGAAGAGCGGACGGCGGGCAGACTGCCGGGCCCGAGTCCCTCAGAGGCGGACCGTGGCGAGGAGCGCGGCAGCAGAAGCGGCGCTCGGTAGCGGGGGCAGGGGGGCAGCGGAACCCCAGCGAGAAAAAGGCCGCGTCCGAAGCGCTGCGCGGCCGCTGGGGCCTCCCGATGGCGCCCGCGGAGCGGCCCCGTCAAGCACATTCCTCTGCTAGATGTGATGGGAGGAGGATTAAAAATAGACTTTAATCTTTATTCCTTTGAGAGTTTTTCCATTAACAACACAAAAAAATAAAAATCTGCATGCTGCTGATCTCTCCAAGGCCAATGCTCCCCCAATTTGGGGGTTAAAAACAAGGCAGGACCCCCCCCGCCCCCTCCGCCAAAACACAGCGAACGTTTGTTTCATACTCTCATTTTCCTGAACTCTATGAGTCAAACTGCTCGGTTTCAAGCATTTTCTCTCTGGGGTAGCTCAGGGTGGGAGGTCTCGGCCCAGCTGGTGGGAGTGGGAGTGAACGGCAACAAACTCCCCATTCCCTCCTGAACCGCATCGCGTGAAAACCATTTCAAAAAAAAAAAAAAAAGCTTGTAAAACAAGCCAACTGCCAACACCAGACCATGCTGCACCGATGAGGTAAGTTCTGCTGCTGAGGCATTTAATAATTTAAAAATGTATCTATCAACTAACCCAGCCGACATTGCCTACGTGAGGCTGAGGAGCCGTCCGAGGGAACGGGCCGGAACGCAGGGTTTCCCTGAGTCACCGGGGATGACTTGGCTCCTCTAGAAGTCATGAGGCAAACTTCCTGTAACGCTCTCTCACTTCGTGTTCCCAGGCTATATAAACAGCTTCGCCAGGTGAGAGACCTTTCATAAGCCTGAACGTTGTGTGAATTATCCCTGAGGTACACTAAAGAAAATAGAGTATCATCAGTAGAATCATAGAACCATAGATGGTTAGAGTTGGAAGGGACCTTAAAGATCATCTAGTTCCAACCCCCCTGCCATGGGGCAGGGGGGTTGGAACTAGATGTAGTTATATATCTTTCCTTAGGTCACCAGAACAGAACTCTATTTCCTAAACCCCTGTCATCAAAAGAAAATAGGGGCTTATTTCCATCAGTAACTATTATTGAAAATTAAATCAGAACTAATTATTTGACTTTTGAAATAAATCTAGTTTCATTTAGCTACATGAAGCGTATCTACATATAATTTCAGAATGCTGCAGTAACTAAAGGGATTTAGTTCATTTGTTTGTATGAATCACCTCTGATTTAAATAAAGAACAGTGAAATATGGCCTCAAACGATTTCCCAAATCTGAGCACATAGAAATTATCGTGCAAGTCCCAGCATAATTTATACTCCATGAGTATATTTATGCTCTGTGAGTATAAATTAGAGAGATTAGAGAGTGAACCTCTCTAATCATTCATCAGAATCAATCCATAGCAGGTGAATATCCAAATCCATATGCCATGCTGACTGGTGGGATATATTTCCCTATGTCTTACCCCAGAGTTGCCCAACCTATCAACCACATGATCTTTTGCAACCCTTCCTCAGCCCCCCTTTTCAAATCAGCTGTCATCTTCTCCAAAGCACCTTCAGACAATCTCTAGTCACATAGCTAAATGCATGTTGGTTCCCCAAATGAGTAACTTACAGCTTCTAGTGATTCACTAGTGCCCGAAACGGGTAAATTTTAATCTTAACGATGAGTCAGAAAGATTACAATCTGCACAACATGGACTTTGGGATCAATGCAGAAACCTGCATACACCTAAAATAAATGCAGAAAATGTCCCTGTTTCATAGATGGAAATGAAATGTTTTTTTCCCTTTTAGCAAAAATGAAGAGGAATTTAGAAGAGAGAGACAGATTTTCTGTTCTTATCAAAGACTATTGAGTTCAGTAAGATTTAGGTTAAAGGTAGATTTCAGCCACCTTTAGAGTCTGAATACAAGTCTTTGGCCCCATCAGTGCCCTGTGAAATGGCAACTCTTAGAAGTAGCTTCACAAAAAATTAAAGAAGATGGACCCACTCTCTGAAAATGCTGCATTTTAGAGAGGAAAGCAGGGTGTATCCTGGCTACAAACATACTACTAGGCTCAAAAGAACTTTTAAGCTAACCACAACACAAGTTCAAAGACCATGTCCAACTCATCATGGCCCAACTCCATAACAAGCCAAGACACAGGTTTACACAAACTGTATATCCTGACACCCTCACTCTTCTTGCTATGGAAAAGTAGTTCCAAGACACCACCCACACAACAGCCATGGTGCACTCCAAAGATGCTTACCTGGACAATCAGAGGAACAGAATTATGAGAAACATCATGCAGGGACTCAGTAAGTGAATACAGACATAGGCTACCTTGACGAAACATAAAAGTTAAAATGTGATTCAGAAAAGTCTTTCTTTCAAGCGCAGCTTTCCTCCAAATGAATAAATATATTCCCATAGAACCCAAGGAATGCATTTGGTATATAGTATACAAACAATAAGTATAAAAAATTCAGAACTAACATTTCAAAGATGATCTTCTAAATAAAAGTGGCCTAATTTACAGCTTGCAAAGGACTCCTGAGGAATTTTCAATCTCCTCTGAAATTTGGATGCTGTTACTTAGGACCTAAACGACACATTTAAACTCCAGTTCATCCAGGCTAGAAGAATTTGATTTCCATGTCTCTCTTTTCCATGTCTACCTGTACAACAACTGTGGGTTCATAGTTTTTAAGACTACACACATCTGTGTAGGTACAGTTCATGTTTCTCAACTGCATCTGGACAGTCATATAAAAAAGATCTTTATTTTCATACTTGCTTTAGAAACAAGCTAAACATTACTGAAACCTCAACTTTGAATATTACTGGCCTTTCTGCAATAAAGATCTTACAAGGGCTCTTTGTACACCATGATCTGCTACATTTGCTTTTTGAATCAAAGGCAGAGGTGTGTGCTCTGCACAGTTAACCGTGTATGAAACCATTCGATATGTTCAACATTACCGTTAACATTCTTAAAAATACTGCAGTGAAAGTCCATAATTAATACAACAGATTCCATCCAAGTAAAAATAAGAAAACATAGCCTTAAAACCAAAATATCTATAAAAGCTTAATAAGAATAAATGTATACAAGCACTTTTAAGGTAACAGTTGGGGCTCACAAACTGCAGGAACAGCGACAAGTACAGCCGGAATTGACGGCAGGAAGCAACAACCACCCCAAACTGTTACGATACACAGAAGCATTTCTACAGTTCAGGAGGTGCTAAGGAAGACATTTGTAACCAGAAGCCTGAGCAACAAAGCTTTGCTCTCACGTCAGCTACCTTCTTCCTCTTTATACTCTGCAATAACAATATTCTGGTCACTTCTGCTTTTTTGAAAGCCTGATCGGGTAAAAATTCCCAGTGTTCTCTGATCATCTTTACTGGTGTGAATGGCAAAGAGTTGTCGGATTCACTACATCAGCCTGGTTTTAATGGAAACAATCTAGGAATCTCATGAAGTCCTGTACCTGGCAAGGAATAAACCCCATGCACCCACACCGCCTGGGAGCCAGACAGCCGTAATGCTGAGGGTGCTGAGGGACAATGAACTGACCATCAGCCAGCAATGTGCTCTTCCATTCAGTACCCACAATACCAGTAGCCTGCCTTGCCCTAAAAGTGCGAAATAAAAAAATAACAGACAAATTAAAATTAAATATGTAAATAAAGAACACACCAGGATCCTTATTTATTTGGAAACTAGTAAGGAATTACGGAGTGAAGGACTTTTTAGTGGAAGGTTGGTGGAATCTCGTGTCTAAGTCCAACCCAATGACAGCATACTTTCCTATTAAGAATCCTCTTTAGCAAGGAATTAAACTGACACTTTCACAGTCTACTTGGGACAAAGAATTTGCCTATTTAACTATTCTTCATGAGTTCAATAAAACTTTGAGAATATCTATAATAAGCGCTATACTTATAGATGAATAATACTAAGATGCAGATTTTTGCTTAACTCAGTTAGAAATGTAAAGAAGACTTTTTCAAAGCTCTTTTCATAATTAGAGGCCTTAAGTCACTGTGAGTTCTCTTTGCTGCACTTTAATATTCTCTCTACCCGTAAATGTACTGCAGCATATTTAATGCTTAAACACAAGCAACATAACTCCACCTAACAGATAGGGGGTTTGTGCCTTCCTCTGAGTTCCAAGTGTTGATGAGGTTATCCAGATTATGTGCTGGCTTCTGCAAGCACAGCATCTCTGTGTTCTGCCCACTTACACTACTGCCTTGTTGAATACTGAATCAATTCCAACAATCTGGGTGCTGATGTTGGGGGGGGATCATTTACCCTGGCACGTCATCCTCTCCGAACACATATCTTTCAGAAAACGCATTCTCCCCAAACAATAGGAGCCAGCAGGTCCAAAAGTGAGACCACAGATGACCAGTCAGTTTTCTCAACAGCTCGTGGATGTCTACTTTTGAAAAACAGACCAACTGCAGTGACACTCCTCTGCTTCTAGAAAAAACACCACCACCGACCTCTTAAATGGTGTGTCTGTTCTACAACAGAATGCTAAACAGAGGGCACGTGTTGCTGCTGACCAGGCTGCAGAGAGATGGAGGCTTTGGTAAGGGCAATGTTGATGGATGTGAAGGACACACCAGTTATCTTTTTTTGTCTTCTTAACATGTTTGGTTAACACCTTGTTGCTTATCCAGCCTCTTCTATCATTTGAGTACCTCTAAGAGATACTGATGGTTTAAGTATTTTGCCAACTTCACTTTCACTGTCACTCCTCTGTATTCCTAGGCACCTCTGTCCTTCCTGAAAATATCTCCACAAAGTACACGCCTTTAAGGTTTGCATTAAAAATTCTACTGGTGGCTATACATTTCTCTGATGTAGTGATTCAAGTAAGGTGGAGTAACAAAGCAGATTTTGCAGGGTGGAACTGTTCTCCTCCCTTGACCTGCTGGCTACACTCTTCCCTATACAACCCAAGATACCATTGGCCTTCCTGGCCGCAAGAGCACACT